AAACTACAAAAAAAATACCCATTTATTACATAATCCAACAATTTGATTCTGTGAATAAAGCCATTTTGCTTTTTTTAGTTCTTTTATATGTCTGGTTAGAATCTTACCACAACGCAAGCCATACCACCCGTGTTCACAACTTGTACATTGAGATAACTGACAGTCAAGTTTACTGGAACAATGGCATGGAGTATTTTGGATACGATCTAAAATGGACAAGATACATCAAAAATATGCAACAAAGAGATGAATTAAATATATTAAAGCTATGCACATGCGGGGAAAAAAGACATGAATAAAATGCTTTAGAATTATTACTTAAATCTCCTAAAACATTGTTTTGTCGTTTTAACAAAAATCCGACTTTTCGGTTGTTCTAATATATCATAATGAAAGTTTATCACAAATGTCTAGAAAATGCTAGAGAGAGAGAGAGAGAGAGAGGGAAAGAAGAGAGATTGATTGATTGATTGTATACTGTTTAACGTCCCTCTCCAGAATATTTCACTGATATGGAGACGTCACCATTGCCGGTGAAGGGCTGCAAATTTAGGCCTATGCTCGGCACTTACGGCCTTTGAGCAGGGAGGGAATCTTTATCGTGCTACACCTGCTGTGACACGGGGCCTCGGTTTATACGGTCTCATCCGAAGGACCGCCCCATTTAGTCGCCTTTTACGACAAGCAAGGGGGTACTGAGGACCTATTCTAACCCGAATCACCACGGGACGAAAAGAAGAAAAGAAAAGAGAAAGACACAGAATACATACCACAATTTAATCCTTTCCAACCAGGCTCACATCCCCCAAAACAATAATCTTTCAAAAAATCCCAATCACCGTTGGTCAATTTAGAAAAGCATTCGCTCTTATCCAGGCAATTGCATTTTTCTGAAAAAAAAAATAATTGCACTCTTTACTAATATAAAGATCTTTTGGTGACTTCATATGTCCATATCGAATACAGCCGATCTGTATTTCAGTATACATTGTAATACTAAGTCGATAAATTACTTATCTATTAATCAATAACTTTATGTATGGAAAATTGATAATATTTCTCAAGGAATTTTGCGAACAATGTATATCAGGTTATTTTTTTATATTTGTCGTGATAATTAATGCAGCTTTTTTTAACCGAGACGTCTTTCTATTGTTGTATATGTACATTCATATTTCTGTTTCCTTGAAATCGATCTAGTTTTACATACCGGGGCTTAAATCCGATTAAAATTTGTGTAATTAATTGTTCTACATCATTAAAAATGGCTTTTAATATGCTTATAATAATTTATATTGATTCAATTTTTTTTTAAAGTTTAAAAAATATATATAATGTATTTTATAATATTTGATTTCCTTAAGTTCCTCCGTAAAAAATAAAGATAAAAACTGTAATAGAGAACACCAAACACGCAACGAACGAACGTATCTCGACCATATTTACCGTATTACTAGTTTATAAATACCATCACTAGCTTTATATTTACATGTGTTTTGTTTATTTGTTTTATTTATTTCAAAGGCGGATCCAGCGCCGGGCGTGTGCTCCTCCCCCATTTGATTTTTAATTTTGTATTATCTTAAAACCAACAGGAAAATACCTCTAATTTGTTATAGAGTTCTCAGTTTCCATGGGCGTTGTCTCTGAATCCCCAACAAAGCTTTGTCTTGGACCCACTGGGGGCAATTATCATAACTTCCCAGTTTTATTGTTTTGAAATTCTTGGATCCGCCGCTGTATAAATATTTAGACAGTTGAACTGCAAGGGCATATTTCTACACTTCCTAGTTAGATATGAACGACCAATATCGGGTTATTATATTTATGTCGGGTTCCTTATATGGACACCCTAGATGGGAACTTGCATCTATTGTTAAATTGTGCTCAGCTCTTGCAAAGTGTGTTTTGATAATTGTTACAACCTATAAGTATGGCACGCCACATTCACAAAAATGAGCTAAACCTATTTCACAATTGATAAACTAGATTTATCAACTGTAAACTATAGTTTACAAACCGTAAACTATAGTTAACAATTTGTTGACTATATTTTTCATCTGTAAAACTAAATGTAAGAGTTGTTAAACTATATTCATCAGATTAAGAGTTGTAAACCATAGTTTACAAATTTGAAACTGTATTTATTAGATAATCTATGTTTTGCAACCGCAAATGATTGTTTTCAGTGTTAAGTATAGTTTACAGTTCTGAAACATAGATTATCGCGTTAACTATGGTTTACAGATGTAAAATATAGATTAAGTAAACGTTCAACTTGTTAACTATAGTTTACAGTTCGTAAAAAAAGCTCCAAAACGGAGGTCGGATGAGGTGCCATGGAGGAGTGAGCGTCCCCTGCCGACTGATCATACCCGCCGTATGATCCTAGTAGTGATCGGGAAATAACGGGAAAATCCGTCGTCAATTCAGTGTGTAAATAATGGAATAACAATTAAAATGAAAAAAAAGTCAGTCAGTATTTGACTCAATGATAAATTGTATTTGCTGACAAGGTCATTGTATCGACCATAGAACTTATAAAACGATGACTTTAAACGAGACTGCTGATATTCTTCTTTCATGAAGTTGTTTGTAAATAATTTACCTCGTTTTGGAAATTGTTCATACGTAAAACATGCTTTTTTTCGTATCGAAATAAACTGAGATATTTTAACTCCGTATGCAGGTGATGAAGGTATATTGCTGGATTAGTACGGGAAGTTGAGGGTAGAAAAGTTAAAGTCATCACGTTTATCATAGAGCTTGTTTTTTAGTTACCATTTATTTATTTATACAAAATTTTATTCACATAAGTGAATGGGATTGGGCAGCAGGCAAAGCCTATTTATGTCTTTTTCAAGAAAAAAATCTAAGTAGAAAACAGATGTGTCAGACTCTGTGGTATCTTTTATCTCAAGCTCACTAGGATATATCTCATCGACATAGGATTGGAAAATACTATTGTAATTAACAGTACGTCGTCGATATATCTAAATGTCGAGTTGAAACCTACAGCAAGTGTTTCTTTTTTCTTTTTACATACTAGTATATGATTTTGCACAAATTCTCTTTCATGTGAATACAAAAATAGATCTGCTGTAAGTTTAAAGTATTTCATTGACCTCATATTAAGATATTGAAATAATTATGTTAACATAGCCATTGAGGATGTTATGAGCATATTACATTTGTAAGGAGTTCTTGTAAAATCATTTAGAGCAATTATATTTGTCATTTTTTTTCACAAAATCCATAAAAAAAATGAACGAAATATTTTTACGTAATAATGTACAAGTTAACATAATTATATCAGTTTATTACAATAATGAAAGACTTTAGTTATTTTCAAACATGATACAGGTTTGAAACGTAATGATGATTCTTAAATAGGTTATACTGAAATCATAGGTAGTAAAGGCAATTAATGAACCCATGTACGACAAGTCCAGTCAAAGTAACGTGATAACATTTCGTACATAATACTCGTAAATTACAAAAACGAAACTGAGTAAATAAGAAAAAGTACGTCCTTAAATGACATAGGTTATACTTAGTGGTATTTACAAAGGTAATAATAACCTGCAAAACGTGTTTTGTTAATTGGTAATTAATCATAAAAGAGACTACTTACAGAATATCAGATTTTTAGATTCAAAGTCTCAAAATTTTTGGGCTGCAAAGGACAGACAAAAAACAAATAGTTAGACACCTTCCAAGGTGCTTACCAATTAACGTGCCATCTGATTTGAACTCAGTATGCAGTTTAAAGAACAAACAAACTGCGTAGTTATTATATGTGATTACTGTAACATGACTTGACAGAAAAGTATTACGTGATGCTGGTCAAAAATCTATTAAATGTTAATCAACAAACCTGCTTTGGTGAATATGATAAAATCAAAAAGAACCAAAAGAGCGGAACTCAGTAAATTCATTTGTTTTCTTTTCTCCTTCTCCAAATTTATTTCATAATCAAATACCTCTGTTGTTATGTGACACACATTGACAGGTACACTGATTGTATACACAAACGACGTGACTCCGATATCTACACACTCCTATCAGAAAATGTAAATACACTGCACAACAAGGGTATTAATATATCTCTGAAGCAAGTACTGATTATTCATAAAATCTAATTTCAAATTTTTATTTTCTGTTGTTTTGGAATATAAATAGAAATATTCATGTAAAGTAAAAAAGTTTCTAATTGTCCAAAAAGAGCATTGCCTTGAGATTATAGATACCACAGTGTCTGACACATCTATTTCATATTTGGATATCTTATTTGAAAAAAACGTTAATGGAAATCTAACAACGAAGCTATATGAAAAACGTGAGGACTTAAACTTTTCAATCGTCACCTTCCCTTATTTATGCAGCAAAACACGTTCATCACCTGCATATGCAATTTATATCTCTCGGTTGATTCGATACATAACATCATGCTCTAAATATGTTCAATTTTTTAAAGAAAGTAATTTATTGACAAACAATTAGATGAAACAAAAATATCAACAGTCTTGCTTAACGTCACTGAATTGAACTGAAACACTGAACTGACAACAGCATTTTCCGAAATTTCCCGATCATGACAAGGAGCACACGGCGGGTGTGACCGGTCTGGAGGGGATGCTCACTTCTCCATGGCACCTGATCCGACCTCTGATGTTTTGGAGGCCCGTGTTTGTTTTGCTCCTTCTAATACTTTGGTGTTTTGCTTGATCAATGAGATAGCTTCAGGAATTTGCTAGTGAACACAAGAAAAGGTACTGAATATTTTAGTGATTAATATTTTAGCAGGATATCATCAAACGGTAAAACAAGGCAAAATTACCATCCCGCTACAATAACCTGCAATACGGCATTTTGTATTGTTTAATAGTTTTTGAGCTTGAATACTGTTCGTTCTTTCCATTCCATTTATATTTCATTTATGCTTACACAATATGTTTACAGAATATTTTTTAAGGAAATTTATTTAAAAAAATCATATTTACAATTATATAAAATATTATACGAATAACACATAGCATACATGTACATTTGAAAATACAACTAACTGAGCAGTGAAGTGATTATTATTCGATCAGTCTTCAATCAATATTCGGACACTTTTCAATCTTCGACATGGTCGATTGACAATTTCTGTCTTTTTTAATTCTGTTTGTTAATTTGTTCCATGACAGATTCGTAAGATGGTGGCAAATCAATAGCTGTATACAATGGTGCGGATGGAACTTGGCTCCTGTTAATGGTATCTGAAATTATATTTAAAAGTTATCACTCTTTGTATGAAGGATTATTCTACAGGTTTGCTTTAAAACGTGGATGAAACTGCTGATAGCACATGCATATATCTTCTGGTAAGTGGAAATTTTATAAGGAATATATGTTATATTTATGGCTTTCTCTACTTGAGTCTTTTTTTTTTTTTTTTTTTTTTTTTTTTTTTTTTTAAAAAAATTACTTTGCCAAAGTGTTAGCAAATCTTAAGAGCTCTTTATTATTCACTTTCTAATGAATATTTGCAAATTTTACACTCCAAGTTATAAATATTACTTGGATATTGGCAAACACTATTAAATTTTATTTTACATTTTCTTTGAAAGCCACTGAGAACACATCTTTAATGCTAAAGTAAACAACGTTAGCTAAGATTAACGTAAGGTTTTGATGGAATATGTTTAGATATGGACCATATGGAATTAAAAATAATTCGTACTTCTATAGTAATAAGCAACACAAATAAGCGCGTCCATAGCGAGTTTATCATGCACATCATTTTCTCATTTTTGTTCCATAGTGATTACAAATTCTCTGATACCTTGTTAATTCCAAACATTTTAATATCCTTTGCTTTGGACAATAATTATAGAATATATTTCAAAGAAAATATCAAGCCATATAGATTATTGGGAGAGAGGGGAATAATTGTATTTTATTACCTGATGATGAGAAGGCCGGGTTTATGTGTCCATTAAAGGAGTGATTTCCTATGCTTGACTCAATGTTCCAGACGTCTGGTGTCGCGGGACTTTCTGAAGATTGTTTCCGCCTTTTCCAGTTAACGAAATGCTAAAAGAGTAGAAAAGTCCTATTACAATTTGATTAAGAAACTAAAACGGACATCCATATTTTATTTTTTAATAAAATGATTAAAACGGTAGAGGTAGTGGTTAAAATATAAACAAACACATTGAAATAAAAAAACAGGAAAATACACTGTAATATATATTGTATTTATTTCATGTTTTTGCAATTACAATTCAGGTTTTAGCATAAGTATGTGACATGTCTCACGTCAATATTTAAGTTTTCATACCAGATTTGGATCTACAGGAACTGATACAGATTAAGATTCTATATAAATCTAAATTCAAATTAAATACATTGAACTTTAATGCTAATAAACGCTATAAAAATCTCCAATATTATGGAAAAGATATAGCTTTATCCAAGTCGTTATGTTAATTTTTATCCCCTCTCTGGCGCTGTCGGAAAATTAAAAAAAACGCAGAAATCTTTGGATAACAATTTAATTCATTAACAATGAGCTCGGTTCTCATCCGGACTATAAAGAAAATTTCTATATACATATATGAATAAATCAATGTTTGTTGTCTTTAATCAGTGATAATGTATATTTTTTGATGGCAGGCAGCAGTTTAGGGCAATTTTTAAATGTTTTTAAATGTTATGTTTTTAAGGGGGTCAACTTAAAATAGATTTATACAGTAACTGTACCTAGTGAAAGACTAAAGGGTTGGAATTCTTATTTCAGTCTGAGTGACCCCCTCTTTTCCTATGGACATCATTTTACAATTCTATTATTGTGCTGGGTGTCAAATTGTGCAATATTTTTCTTAATGTGTAAAACTCTTTATTTGAGTCATTTTTCTTCTGACCCCCCATTTTTTTTAAAAATGCATTTTATGTCTTGCGTCATTCACGTTAATAAATGACACTTCTACATGATCTTATTTGTTTTTGACTGGAAAATAAAGGAACATAAATGATTTACAGCATACGTTTCTTGCAATTTAGCGATATATGTATATGCATATGCAGCTTAACAAATGCATTGAATAACTAAAAAGTTTTCAAATAGTAAATTGCAATATTAATCAACTTATATGTAACTATACGTATATATTTTGAGAAGACTGAGAACTGATATTTTCCATGTTTTAAGAATTGTCTTTTTTCATTTTCTTAAGGTAGGACAAAACACCTGTCGATTATATTTTAACTCATTTCTTAAAAAGTACTAGAGAAAAAAAGAATAATAATACTATATTGACAACAATGAATGATCCCTGTAAGAAAAATATTAAGTTTCATCATGTTTGCGTCATATTTTGTGAAAAAATCAGAGAATCCTATATATTGGTCACTTGGGAGCTTACATTTTGGAATGTGTTTACGCTATCTAAGTGCAATAAACAAGCATGTAACAGTCTGTTATAAAATGCAGTGTAACTTTTGTTCCATAAATAGTAGAGGGCTGATATTTGGACACATATATAAGGAGTCTCCATTCTTTATGTACTACAAAGGTCAAGGTCATATCAAGAGGTCAAAGATCAAATATTGTGACGTCATCTACTGAATCTTTTAGTTTTTTTGCCATTGAAATTTTTTAATAAATCGCCAAAACATCTGAAACCACCGATTCAATTTTCTTTATTTTTACACATTTTATTCTAAGATCCATTTGAATCATTCTGTTGATTTTTTGTAAAAAAAAAATGAATTACACATTTTTTCTTAAGAAAACTTAAACTGTCGGATATTAACATGTGAATTTTCAATTCCGACGCTATGTATGTTCTATTTTTACTTAATGTTTTTGCTCAAATTTCCCAGTATCGATATGACTTACTGATTTAAAGTAACAAAAAAGTTATCTTTATTAAAATTATTACACAAATTTGCAATTGATCAATTGATAATTATAAAATAAGGCTAATTCTCAAGTCGAATGTCTGATTTCACAATCTTCTTACAGGGGTCTGATAGGCATTATTTCAGACAATGTGGGCAAAAAATGTGTGGTTGAATTTCTTTCATATCATCTACAAAGAGAGATACTGTATCCTAGAAAAAGATACCAAAGTTTCAGAAAAATTGAATTTGAGGAAAAATTTGGCCTATCTATTGTGTCCTACCTTAATTCTGCAAGGTAGATCATATTTTTATAGCAGTCAATCATTATTTTTACAGCATACTTACTGCGCAAAAGCAGCAACAGAATGCGAAAAATACAACTCCTCCTATTAGAATATAGATGACTAGATTCCAAACTTCCCATTTCGAGTAATCTGCGAATAAAAGAACAAAAAAGGTTCTAATTTACAGGTAAGGCCCAAGTAAGTATTTATTTTGAAATATGTGGATGTTTTAAATTTGTAAGCGCCTGTGAATAGCTATATCGACTTTATAATGTAAATGAATTCGTTTTCTTGTTGTATTATATACATATATTATAAACACCATATGTACATGAAATCTACAATCAAAAGTCCCATTTGTTTAAAAAAAAGTTTAATAGCAAAGTCCGATTCTCTTTATTATGAAATAATCGAACAAGGGTCCTTTCGGCATGGGACAGCTAATATACGTATAAATGAAAAAAAAAGAGATTTGTTCAAATCATGACCTCTAAGGTTAGCAAGCTGGAATAAAGAGTTAGGTTTTTGGCCTAGTCATATTGTTTTGCAGACTTCCTTGTCAGAGTTAATCAAATCATGACATAAGATAAAGTAAGGCATCACCTGAGTGTCCGTTTTTATAAACAAGTTTCAGTTGATATGACAGGTCTTTTCAAAACTCTCTCATCAAAATCGACAGGACTAGATCAGTATATGAGTCTATTTACTATCACCAAGTACCGGTCAAATGCAAGGCTGTCGTAAACTTCTCAATGAATCTATTTTATCAGAAAAAATATGAAACAATGATCTTAAAAACCAAGGAACTTTAACATATTTGCACTTTTCAAGGTTATAGTACCAAACTTCATATTGATATACTGTAAAATCATATATTTTCGTGGGGTAAAAATTTCATGGTTTGAGGAAAAAATATTGGTAAGAGGGGATTTGATTTCGTAGATGAAGAATTGTTTAGTAGTTGTGCATATGTAAATTTACATTTCGTGATGGACATGAATTTGTGGGTCTCTCCACACCTCGAAAACAACAAAATTAAACCCCCCAAAAATAAGTGTTTCACAGCATACTAATGAGGAATTGTTAGAATAATGGATCGTAATTTTGTGATCACAAAAAGTGATGAATTTTAATTTATCGACGTGTACGTGTACTTTGAGAAGAAGGGTAACTCTAATGAGTCTTTGTTATAGTTGTCTTCATACTCGTCCCTTAGCCCTCTAGATAATCAGCTATAATTCCTACAAATGCTTATTCTAAGAACCGATGCGCAATTTAAAACAAACTTAAATTTACGTATAAATACATGTACATAGGGTGTTCCGGTAGAAAACGTACATGAAGATTAGTAGCAAACATTTACGTACCCGTTTTATCTGAATCTTGTTGACACGTGTCAGGTGTGCTTATCGTGTCTAGATTAATATAAATAAGAAACATAAGTATATATATAATTATATGCATACAATTTACTTATATGATTTTTTTTAAGTATAAATTTAAGTATAAATCATATTATCGAAAAACTGAATTGCTAGGTCTATTAGCAAAGCTATTAAGAAGAATATTAACAATTAAATTTTTTAAAAAATCAGTGCAACGAAGTATTTTCAAGGCATTTTTTGTCAAGCGTACACATAAAACAGCTTTGTACAATACAGAAGAGAGTTATTTTTGGCAATTAAAAAAACATAGATTTAATGACAACTTCGGGAAAAGAGGGATTGGTTATTTTCAAGCTCCTCTGTATATACAAACGTAAACAATTAATAACAACAATCTAGCAGATAAGGATGAAAAAAACTTTTAATTTTACTTTCAGTTCCTTTTTCCTTAGTAAATTTAAATTCCTTGACCGTATGCCGTAGAACGCAAAGTATACAATGGAGAAGTGAAATGACCTTTATATTTGATTAGATCTAGATAGGCTAGAACTGAAACATGTCGATCTACGAGTAATATTACTATTATAATACAAACCTGCTCTGACCAAGAGGATCAAGTCATAACACACAACAAGAAATATCCGCCATTTGTCCATAAGATCTTTTCTTCATGTCTTATTTCTCGTGAAAATTTCCATTAAATCTACACATACCTGTACTAGATGACTAATCGTATGAAAAATATACAGGTGATGTAAACAATCTTATCTGTCAATTTAAACACGGCAAAACGAATGGGTCTAGGTAAATATGCATGATTTCAGTGAACGTGAACTATTTTTGTTGAAAAATATCAAGTTATCATTATTAGATTAATATTGAATAAAAACTAAAAAACATAAGATATCGTCAAACTTTTTGTAAGACCGTCATGGTTGAAATACCTTGTGTTATGTGTGACGACCAAATATTTAAACGGAAAAAGAATCAAATAGTGAAAATCTTACCTCCCTTTAATTGTGCCAATTTGTGAATTTAATGCTATCTAAAAAAAATAGTATTTTTGAAGCAAATTAAGGCTTTCTTGGAAAATATAGTTATTACGGTTTTTTTGTTTTAATTAGGGAAAAATAACTCTGATGTATTGTAAAATATTTGCAAAAATACTTTAAGCAAATATTTTAGATATAAAAAAGATGTGGAAATATCATATCAAAAGTTTGCATAGTAAAATCAGACATTCCTTGGAAATAAGCTGTAAATCTTATTCATAAATGACAAATTTGGGCATCAAAACAAACTTTCTTTTAATATCGATTGTATTCACAGCATATATAAATGCGAGTAATATAGTACATTTATTTCTGCTGTGCAAAGCAACAGTAACAGATTTTATACTGAAACATTAAATTCATCTTATTGCTGTGCATGCATCATTACATCGTCTTTTATTATCAATACTTAAAAATAGTTCGAAACTCACTAATACATGTGCCTGACTGTTCATATAGTATAAATAACAAGTTGCAAAAAATAGATTTTAAAACATGTAAAATGTTTCCTTCAGATATTCACAAAATACAAAATATTTTGAGTCAACAATCATGTACTAGTTATTCTTTCAAACAATTTCATTCTGGTAAAAAGCGCTACATCAATCTTGTTTCATGACGTGCTCAGTTTGTCACACTCATATGAGAATACATGCATTAAATGTCTCCTGTCTCTCAGGAAAAAAAAGACGTTATCATGCTTAATTGTAATCCATTATGTAGTGAACACGTTCTACTTGAAATCTTTCATTCGGATTCTTCTGTTTTCTTTGTGCGCAGCACTGACAATCACTGCAAGTTCCCATTTGTTTATTCCGCGTAAGACATTTAAAAGTTGATCCACCATTTTCTTTGTTGACTTCCGGCCCCGCCAGGCCCAGAGTATCTGAAAATTCTGAACTACGATTGGTTCATGTAGCCCCACGACCTCATCTACCACGTGATTCTTTATTCTATTTATAACATGTTTGGGAACGCCAAGTTTGAGCCCAATCTGTTCAATTGTTTGTTGGTTCACAAAGGAGCTAAAGATCATAAGGCTGGAATGACTGAGAACCGAAACATCCTCTGGAAAAAAGTACCAGTCTGTTACTATGTGTTCCACTAAATGAATTCTTGCGGCATTTGTTTAAGTTGTATCTTTATTTGAAAGGTATATGGATGTCCAAATATATGTAGTACCCTGTCTTTTTAAATGTGATTAGGTTTCGTCCTCTACTTATATAATCTATCCTTTAGGTGATGCAAAAAATACTAGGTAAGTATGCATAACTCTTCTATGTATGATCAAAAAGAAAGCAAAGTGCGTGTTTATGATACAGATGCTTTAGAATTGTGCACGAGTAACAAAAATAACTCTATAAAAAAATTTCGTTTGTATAACTCTGATACATTCGATGTCAGGAAAGACGTGTATGCTGTCATCTGGAACAAGTTCAACTCCAAGATCAAGGTCAAAAGATCGTTACTGTTGGAATAAAGTTCTCCTCAGTCAAAGCATATGTAATATCAATACACTAGCACCAAGCATTGAAAAGTTATGACCATAGTTAAAGATTTTTTAAAAAGGTCAAATTACAAAGTCATGGACAAAACAGTTAGTAGCCAAGAAGCTTTAACCCAACGATCATAAATGTGAAATAGGAAAGCCGAAGCTTCAACCGTTTGCATTCTTGTGGCCAATGTTAAAATTTTTAAAAGTGAGAAAATTCTTGAAGTAAAGGTCAAAATTCATAATTCTGAAGATTTTTGTTATCAGAGGAAACACGTGAAATATAGAAATAAAAGTAAACTAGAAACTCTTGTTGCTATAGCAACAAAAAAGGTCTTCCGTTCTCCTCTATTTATCTGTATGAATGAGCTTTTATCTATGTTAAAAAGGCAGATAATATTTACAATGATTACAGGAAAACAAACGGCCGGAGGTATAACTCACTAAAATTCTTGACGTTACTTTAGACAGTTTTAGTCTTAATAACATTTATTAAAAATCATTTTCAATTTTTTAGCACTTCCTGTAATGACTGGAAGTGACAGAGGACGCATTTTACCCTATATCTGTTACCCAATCTTCACATGTTTAGTGCCTTGGTCTGTTACATTTTAAGAAATCTCGTAATGTTAACTTCTCGTTTTGAGGACAAGAAATCACGTGACCGCGAGTAGATTTTAAAAAAGATATTTTTCGTTACTTTAGACTTTTGCAGTCTGAATAACATGTCCTAAAATCATTTCAAATACTCTTTTTATAAAAGATATTTCTGGGATAGTATGATACTCAATTTATGCAGTTTTTTCTCTCATAACTGGAAGTTGTCGTTTTCGTTTCTACTGGGACTGACATATTTCGAAATAACAAATAAGATGCTGTAATATAATATTAAGAAAGATTCCACAAAGAAAAGTTGAATTTTTTGATATATTTGATCACTTCATGTGACAACCGGAAGTGACTGCGGACGATGTTAACTCAAATCGATTTCTCTACTCAGCATAATCTACCATTCCTATTCCTTTGGTGTCTTAATCTCTTACCGTTTACGAAATCTAGCCATGATAACTTCTTAGTTTTAGGACAGAAAATCACGCGACCGGAAGTGAATTTTATAGAGATATTTGAGGTAACTGTAGATATATTGAATCTGAATAACATACCCAAAAACCGTTACACACTTTACATATAAATAATATATATTTGAAAGAAAAATACTCAAATTATGTATTTTTTCTCTTATAACCGGAAGTTGTCGTTTTTGTTTCCGGTGGGTCTGATATATTTTGAAACTAGAAATAAGTTGTTATCAGGTGATGCAATAAACTTTCCATAAAAGAAAAGTTGAAATTTTCGATTTCTTTGACTACTTCCTGTGACGACCGGAAGTGACGGCGGACAATCTTAACCCACACAGTTTTGCCTACTCAGCAAGATCTACCATTTCTATAAGTTTGGTGTCTTCATCTCTTACCATTTACGAGATCTCTTTATGATAAGTTCTCATTTTGAGGACAGGAAATCACGTGACCGAAAGTGAATTTTAAAAAGATATTTGAAGTTACTGTAGACATTGGCAGTCTGAATAACATATCCAAAAATCATTTCAAATACTTTATCTATAAAAAATATTTATGGGAAAGAAAAATACTCAAATTATGTAGTTTTTCTCTTATATCCGGAAGTTGCCGTTTTTGTTTCCGGTGGAACTGACATATTTCAATACTACAAGTAAGATGCTACAATGTGATGCAAAAAAAAATTCAAAAAAGAAAAGTTGAAATTTTCGATATTTATGAACACTTCCTGTGACGACCGGAAGTGACGGCGGACAATCTTAACCCAAATGGATTTGCCTACTTATCAAGATCTATCATCCCTGTAAGTTTGGTGCCTTAATCCCTTACCGTTTCTGAGATCTCACTCGGATTAAATATTTTTGAAAAAAGCGGAAATCGGACATATCTGACGACCGGAAGTGAATTTTCAAAAAATGAAAAAAACTTCTCGGGGTATTTTCATTTTCTATCATCCCTGAAAATTTCAGGAAAATCCGTCCAGCCATCTCTGAGAAATCCTGCCGACAAGATTTGGGGAAAAAAATAATAATAAGAACTAGAGCAAAGCTCGTTGCAAAGCAACGAGGAGGTCTTCCGTCCGGTTTTGACTGGAAGTGCCGGAAGTGACGGAACAAAAGAAAGCAATGAGCTAAGTAGTCTCCGGTGACTTTATAATTTCAATTTTGCATCAAAACCTTTAAAATAAGCCATTTTTTGCTACTTCCGTTTGACCGGAAGTGAGGACGACGGACGGAAAAATTACTTTTTATGCTCCCAGAGACATATGTAACCCAAAAACTTATCAAGAACGGCAAAAAAAAGCGTTTTCCGACTACTTCCAGTTAGGCCGGAAGTGACGATGACGGACGTATTTTGACGACTCCAATAGATTTAGCTTGACATTTTGAACATTTTTGCTTCTTTGATGTATTACAAATTCTAAATACTTTTTGAGATATAAAGGAAAAACATTCGGCCCTTCTCGGCCCCTGATTTAAGGGTCCAGCCCTTTTTTCGAGGTATCATTTGAAAGATCGTGAAATTCTACACCATTTTCGTTCTACATGTTTTAACAAAATTTTCTAGGTTAAAAGTTATCGTTGAAAAGGTGCTTAAAATTTTGAAGTTCTTGATAGGACTTTTTTCGGGCCATAGCGAGCGTCGGCGCTTCGTACTTCCGGTAGTTGTGATATACTTAGTGCACTTCTCCAAAAGTTGCTCTAAGCATCGCTGAAAATTTCAAGCTTCTGTGTTAAGTGCTTTTTGAGAAAACTGCCGGACAAAGTGACCCTCTAAAAATCACTAAATCGCAGAAAACTCCGAACCGGAAGTGACGTCATCAAAATAAAAAAATATATATCTAGATTTTTTGATGTTCTATCAGACCTGAAAGTTTCATGAAAATCGATCGAGCCGTTCTCGAGAAATCGCGCGTACAAAATCGGTAAGAAAAAAAAACAATAATAATAAAAATAGTGGAAAAGAAACCTAAGAAAAACAATAAGGTCTTCCGCTGAAGACGGAAGACCTTAATAAGAAAAAACAGTAGAATCACTATAAGGTCTTCCGTCTGAAACGGAAGACCTTAATAAGATCATGTACTTTTTTCAAAAGTATGACAAACTTAAAGGTCAAAAGTATGACAAACTTTAAGGTCAAGTAATAAACAAATCAAAATAGTCAGTACCCAAGAAATGTTTTTGCTACAAAAAAAAAATTATGTGAAATATGAAAGCCCTACATGTAGAATCAAGATTTCTGATCAATTTATTTTTTTTAAAAGAAGGTTGTACTCCAAGGTTCAAAGATATGAATATTTGTACTGCAAGAAAGGAAAGTTTTTTCACAAGGAACTCATCTGTTAAGTATACGAAAGCTCTTTCTCAATCCGAATAAATCGGCAGAAAGACGGACGGATTGAGAAAGAAATCAACTGATCACGAATACTCCTTTAACTTCGATTACGAGGGCATAGAATTTGTAAGTGTTTGATGCTTGTTGCATGTATTGAAGCAATTAGATTAACTATTGATTTGACAGTCTATTTTATGTATTAACAAGAAGTTCATGAATTTCATGAATTTAAATTGCTAAATAAATTGATTTTATTCCTCGCATGTATTGCTTTAAGAGGTTTTTTTTTTTTGCATCTGTAGAATCACTTCACGGACATCCTTCAAATCCTAGTCCTAACACTATTACATTTTACAGTTTAACAATCTAAGTTTCCGAATTTTATCTCTCTCTACGCAGTACTTCAATATTCACAATGAATATAATGTTATCGGTACCTATTGGTTCAATTATTTCAATGCCGTCAGCTGTGGTTTCATTTATCGCTAATATTCGTGATTTCTTTTAAAGCCCCATCCAAGCAACAAAGTTATTTCGGAATTATGCCCTGTTATGAATTATAGGAGTCTATTACATTTGTTCTGTGAAGAATTTCATTGAAATAAACTTGATTTTTTATGTTTAAAATCTAAAACCTTTCTATATATGTAAATATCACTTACAGCAAATTCAGTAAATAATATAGCATTATAAAAATAAATAATCAATACCTTTATATCAAAACAACTGTAGATAATTGTAAATTGTCTGTATTTCTAAGAGAGTAAAATCCAAGAGAAATAATAAATAAATCTAATTCAGAGAGAGAGAGAGAGAAGAAAGAGAGAGAGAAGGAGGAAGAGAGACCTTTTTTGGCACTGCTAGCTCTAGTTGATGAGACACTCTTGGGCCTGACTCCGTAGAGCTTCGTATTCATCACAGACCTGGCCCGAGCCCTCGGCGAATCCGCCTCAACAATTCCACGGTCCGCTCCCGGGTTATCACCATCATCCATCACAGAATCCATAACAGCCTCAGTATTGCACGGAATACAACATAGTCAAAAAATAACAGGATCTTAAACTATTTTGTTTACATATTCATCGTTGCAAACATCATAGACGAGGTATTTCATTTGTAGTGTATAGGGGAGCGTTGTATTAATTAATCCTCTTATTAATTTAACCAAACTAAACGACATTATCCCGAGTTTTGGCTGCCATCAATTGCACAGATTTAATGTAAACATGCAACAATGTAAACGGATCTGCAGTACTTAGTGTACTTATATACTAGACGTTCATGCTCTGTCGGACAATCTATTAACATTACAAATCCTCTTGAGCGCGTTTAAAAATTTTTACCTACAATAATCATCGGAAGTGGAGAGAAATCATTTAAATTCAGACCCATTGATAGTCTATAAGGAATGATTACGTAAATTAATTAAATGTTGTATTTGTAATGACTTCGATGTTTTCAATATGAGAATTACAAAAGTTTAAATGTCCTTAAACTAATAGCCGTCAATGACTCTCAGTGCGTTATACTGCATTGGTTGTACAAAACTAAAATTAGGGTCTTAATAACGTTTCTTTTATTCGGAGTAATCGACGGAAAGGTGATTTATGAAGTATTATATTATTTACAGTATAGCTCGAAACTACGTACATATTCCGTAGTATAAACTTTAGTTACCATTTTTTTCTCAGAGTTCTTTGACTCGAGCTTAGAGGAAGGGAAGGTAGATTAAGAGAGATCTTTTCATAGTAAAACAGAAACAAACAAAATTTTAAAACGCAAACGATTGCAACATGTCTTCATGTTTAAGATTGACTGTTTATGATATCTGTTGAATGAAAGTAACAATTTATTACACATATACCTGTATAGCCTTTTCATCTTAACATTTTTCAATTTAAACCCTTTACCCTTCCTTTCATTTGTTGAACACCCTACACTTGTGTTCCGAACTTTGATTTGTGGGTTCAGTTTATTTGTTGTTGTTGTTATTAAACGTCATTCTCGAGAATATTTTTCACTCATTTGGAGACACCCCCATTTACAGGTGGACAGCTGCAAATTTTGTCTTATACCTAGGGCCATTAAGCAGTGAGGGATTTTTTTTTCTTCCAAGGACTTTTGCGACATGACAACTCGATTTATGCATGCGGTCTTAATAGAAGGACCGCTCTCCACGTCCCACAGTGGTATTCGAACCCACGATGTAAGGATTGCCTTCTTACTCCGAGACTCTAAAGCAGACTTCTTACCTCTATGTCACGCAGGCGACTTTTTATAATACCAAAAAAAGTTCTCGATACTTTAGGCGAAAGCGAGAATTCAGAAAGACCATTGGACCTATTAAATAAACGAAAAATGACTGCAAAATACGTATTTGTTGAAATGCCTATCACGATGATACATGATGATTGTAAATGCCGTAAAAAGGTTTTAACTTTCACTATAAATTATTGTACGAAGTTTGGCCCATAAAAAAGCAAACTTTGGGATATTTCAAATACTATTCAAACAAAACTAATAATTTTTCTATGCTTTTGGAAAATAATCTTTTAGATATTTTGACAAAATGTGATAGGCATATGCATATAAAAACAGCATTGATGTTTAATATCGATTGTCGGCGCACGACAATTTTTGGACTTTTAAAATTACATTGTAAATGAAGATTTCGCTGTTATCAGGCTATAAGGCAATATTAAAAATTTTATCCACATAAATACTCTATAAATTGGTGTACTCGTGTTATAAATTTCATTTATTTGACGTCATTAATGACAAATAAATGACGATATATGCCAAAGCGCTGTAAATTACACATTGTAAAAAATGGTGACGTTAAGCGGTAATGTGGAGCAGCAAATTATATCAAGTAACACTATGTTGAGCGGGATATGAATCCTGAGTTTAGAGGAAAGAGATGTTAACGATGGAAAAACACAAACATTACGAAATACGTCTTGACGTCAGTGTTGCGCTTACGACTGATTTGTTAGATTCGTTTACCTGAGAGGGAATTTTTTTATGGAGATAATTTACGGAAAATTTTAAGTATCATTCAAAAAATCCTGCTCATGATGTATGCCAATTTTTAACTTTATAGTCGTAATGAAATAAAAAATATTGAAAATGTTCGTGTTGTTCTGGGACATCCCTCGCCTAGGGAAGTATTAAACTGAATTCATTCCCCAAGCTCTATTGTTATATAATATGTTGATCAATTACTATGGTTCTAGTTTCATTTAGCGATTGTTTATAGAAGAATAATTATCATATTTTTAATAAAAACGAAATTAATGTATGCATACATGTAGATATAATGTAATTTGTAATGGAAAAAAAAACAACAACATTGTATTACTACAAACACTTTGGCAAAATTCCGTTACTATAGAAAATCATTGTCCCACAACCTGAAACCTTTGAATAGATTTTTCAAAAAATAATGTTATTTTTTCAAATGACAATCTGAACTTGAATAACTGTATTTACTGTCATTATGTACATGTATTAACTTTTTTTTCAGGTAATGTACACATGTGTCTATAGTTAAAGAAAGAGAAAAAGAGGATCGTTATACATTAAATATATATAAAATCGACCAAGATGTTTCACATATGAATCCTGAAGGTTTAAACTTACTATACTTGAAAACTCAGTTAAAATGAACATGCTTATTTCGTTGTTTTTAATTTGAATTCTTTTGTTAAAATAGCATCTCATCAAATGACAAAGGATAGCAACTCTTCATCCAGTCAGCAATTATAGGACTGTTTTTGAGAAACCTCATCAATCTAATTCCTTATAGCATTAAAGTATATCACGAAAAGCGATTATATTACAAGCGATAAATTTTAATTTTCTCATGGGTATGACGTACCGACCTGAAAACAGCTCGATTTTCCCGTTCGTGTATCATTTTAAGAGGCTTGCAGTCCTCATGTAATTGCAAAACTTTCGTGTGAATTCCATCTAGAAAACGAGGACTTATCATGTATTTGTCTCCGAGTGCTAAGCCTCCGTTTTAAATTGAATATGATGTAATGTGTTAAGATTGGAAAATTATTCTGCGATGCAGTTATAAATCATTCTATTGTGTGGGCTGTGTTGTACATCATATCAGGATTCGTGATGCCAATTCCGATATCTGACTGGGGACCAGACAATATTTATAACCAGGGCGGGACCGGTGCGAAGTAGAACTACTTGCATCTTACAACGGAACCTAATATTGATATTTTCAAAATTATATAGCTAAATTTATATTAAAATGGACTTACACTTTGCAGTCATATATGAAGAATCATCAAAATGAAATAACTTTTATTTCATCAATGGTTCCTCAAGCTGCTCAAGGTTTTTTGACTGCGCATGCGTCTTGGTAATCTGTCTTTTACTGCACTTTCTTTCTGGTAATTGACATTTTTCAGATTAAAAATTCAAAAGAACATCCTATTGCAAGAAAATAACTTATTTCAATTTTCTCATATTACATTGGAATTTAAAAAGATGTTGTGATCAACAAAACTCACCAATTTTCTCATTTGTATAATGTACGGGTCAAATAAAGGTCTACTTTCCCGTTTGTATACTAGTATCATTTAAAAAGTTATGCAATTCTGATGTACTTGCAAACTTTTCGTGTGAATTTTTCATTGAACGACGCATCATATATTTGTCCCCGCTTTCTTTACGAAACATTACACAATGTTGATTTGTGTTTTTTATTTATAAAAGTAGCTGTCTCCTTACAATGTCAAGAGTGAATGTAATTTTTTTTAATCTTACATTTAATAAATAAACGTATAAATGGTTAAGAAACTGAAACTCATTTAACACTATAGCAATAGCAAATAATTTAGACATCAATAAAGCAATAGCAAATAATTTAGACATTTGCCATAGTAACACACGACATAAACAAATCTTTATTACTAATTGTATCCATGCGCAACGTCAACTATCACTAAACAATTTAAAAGCACTTTGAAATAATCATTGTAAATAACATATGAGGAAAATGTAAAGTGAAAAAAAACCTGATTTTATCTAAGATATACGAGGGGTGATCAAAAAGTTCGCGAACAAGTTGAATAACTTCCACAAAAGAAATAATATTTGATTTTAATGTTGATTATATTTTAAACTAATCCTCCCCGATTCTAATGCACATCAACCACCGTTCTGCGCATGCGCGAATCACGTGATATTGGCGGTCACGTGACCCCCTCCGTAGCGTTCTGTCACAATAGTTGAAAGATTTTTCTGAGTTTTATATTTCTTTTCATGTGAGTTAATTTTTATGACAAGAACAGTTCATTTGTCAGAAATGGTCATATCTCGGCAACAGAACGGATGGATAAGAATGTTCTTTCCAAAAATAAGCATGGCGACCATTAAAACAAATCTTCTGTCTCGGGAGAGACCTTTATTCAAGGTGGATAGAGAATGGGTGCCTCCTTTTTATCATATCTAATATGTTTAAAATCTAAAGTAAACGATATCTTAGGTATTTAATACTTATATTATTGTTCAAATATTCAACTATTTTTCAAAGTATTGATTGGAGGTCTTTGATAGCAAATTGCTAAATTAAAATTACATATCTTTTCAAACTTGCTTTCACTGACAAGTATCATTTTTAACCATCTGCTTTCTTTCACTAAAACGATCAATCCAATCATTAATTGAATTTATAGGAACTCATTTATCTCAATAAACTGTGTACAAATTATTATATGATAATGCAGAGGGATTTCTAAGATATACAATAAATTGTACAGTCGTTTGTTGAACGGGTTCGACTGAGACAACCATTTTTCGTCACAGGTGACCTACGTAGTGACGTCATTTTCACATTGTGACGTCACAAACAAATAGAAAAACTTTATTCAGCATATGTTATTTATAGACCTTGTGTATGGCTATGTGTGTACCGAATTTCATTCTAATCTGAGTTGTGGTCTTGTAGATATAGAGATAGTTCGCGAACTTTTTGATCACACCTCGTACAAATTATGAGCAGAGCAGGCACGGACTTCTAAAACATTAGATGAAGGATCATGTGCCATGGAGGAGTGAATATCCCCCGCTGACCGGTCACACCCGACTTGTGCTCCTTACCATGCATGTTCGGGACATTTGCTGATATTGCCATTGTGTCGTATTATTTCATGTTCTGATCCAAAAGATATTTGGCGGTTTCGTTGAGCAGACTTTGTCTTCGCAATATTCTCAGAGAAAAGCCGTGAAGAGGTTTTTTTCTTCAGAGTTTATAAGTGTGGTGCACACAAACCCCATAATTTGCGTTATGAAAGTAAAAAAAATGCTCATCGAATGGTGATTAATATTGTTTTGATCGGACAAAACCTCAAAATGCAATGGATTTTTTTTTTTGTTAGACCAAAAACCCCCAGTTTTTATGAAAATGACAGTCTCGAAAGAGGAGTTGTCGAGAAAAACAAGTCGAGCAAACAGTTTTCAGACGGAATGCAATTATGTCTGTATTAAAACCCATCGATAATGTGATATCGTAGAGACATTAACTGCAAGGAAAAAGAAATGACATTGATAGAAAAGTGAATGATATGTATATATATTTTAATGGTTTTGCGTTCGCACCTATAACTATGGTATTACTTTAAGCTGTCTTCACAAATCATTTATTTTTTTCAATCATTTATTTTTTCACAACTGGATCCCAAAGAATTGCCTTTTCGGACAGAATACATGTGTAACGAATTGCATGAATAATACTGGAGAATATAACCTGGTTAAATATATTGACCGGTCTTCGTCTGTTCCAGTTTTATATCAAAATAATTAAATAATGACAGACAAGTTTCGGCGTGGGCGTTGTAAAAAATAGGATGGAAATTTTAGTCAAAGTAACTTCTGGGAATAAGATGAAAAGTACCTATCAGTTTTGTTTGAATACATTGATGGCATTCTATTGATCATGAAGGATTTTTTCCCCTCTTTTCTTTAATCTGACTATAAGTGCGTCGTCAATATGTATAATCATCTAAACCGCAAGTCAATTAAAATAACTGTAGGCTGGATTTTATTTGTTATTTTTGCATATACAATAGTATGTCTAGGTTACTATGAAAAGCAATATGAGGTTCTACATGTAACACTTGCATCAAGATTTTGAATCTTAAAGATACCTTAAGACATGGTTTTAAAATTATCTCCCCCTATATTGTATGAGGCTTATCATTTGCCTAGAAGACTAAAAGCTAAAGGCAAACTGTAAATTCAACAAAAAAAGTTCCATGATAATCTTTTTCAGTCTTTTTTAGAGGGTTTTGATTAAAATCAAACATGTCCTTTGTTGCAAAGAGAAAAGTGAAGTTTATAGAGAAATTCCAAAAAATTGGTCAAGGATGGCATGATTGAAATAAGAAGTTCCTGGTCGAGGGCTGATTATGTAGGTCATTCAAAAAATTCGTAGACTTTTGTCATAATATTTAACGTCATATTGCAACCAATTTAGTAAACAATTATTATCACTTTACAATGTGTATAGCAACACCTTCAATATATGGCTCTTAAACGAAAAAACAATTAAATGTGTTAAGTATTGCTTTTTTACTTCATATGCTAAAAGGTAACGAAATACATGGCTCCCTTCAAAAAAGTACTTATTTTTTAAGACAGATATACTTGATTAAAAAAGGAAAACAAAAATAAACATCAACAAATAAAGAACAAGAAAACATGATATCAAAGATTGAATGTGATGTTGAAATGGGTATGTTTTTCTTTGTTAATTGCCTTCGCTATCAAAGGGTTTCTGATACGCTTAACTCTCCTAATTAACCCTTAACATATGGTGCTATAAAAAGACGGGATTGTTTTCGTCACGTGAACTCGAATTTTGAACAGGTACACACAGATTGCGTCATCAACAAAAATAAATAACGTATATATTTAAATCGTGAAAGTTTTTAAAAGAATGATTAATAAGAAGGCATTGCAGGATACCATATCTATGAATACAAACGCATATGATCGCTGTTTACATGCGTTTTTCATTCCCGAGGATTAAAAGTCAAAATATGTCCCATATGAAGATATCTTCATGTACAAAAACAATATCTAATTGGTCGATCAATGTCAATCCAGTTCGATCAAAACTGGTGAAAAAAATCTTTTTTAATACCGTATGCCAAGAGTTCATGAGGAGAGTAGCATATCAGAAAGCCCCGGAAAGTGAAAGTGTATGCATGTTAATAAGAATTGCAGATCACTAACTTACTCAGCCAGGTAAGAATACCCAATCTCAACTAGACAAAAAAATTTCAAACTTCTGCTGTATACCTTTTATTTCAAATATTTTATCAGAATAAAAAATGAAGCACACAAGAAGTGAAGTGTATGAACCGTGATACTATTACATTATACAATACTACTATAGAAAAAACACACGAATTCGGCTAGAGGATTTCGTATATGGTATGGTAAAAAAAACCAAAAAAAAAAAACTCGCACCATACTTCATGAATGATTGTCTAGATGGGATTTTTAATGATATTCGCCAAATGAGGTAGAAGTATCGATACTGCGTTCTGGATTAATACGCTGAATACATCACAGTTTGGTTGAGATCATCGGTGAGGGTGGGATTTGTGTACTGATCAAATCCCTCCTGGAATGCCTATGTCTTCTCACATGTACAAGTTTCCTATATAATGTTCGAAATAGCACTCGGGCTTTGCTTGTGTAGATAAAGTAAATTATAGGATTGGCTGTAACATTCACGAGCCACATAATTCTTGCAATGATTAAAATATGTTTGCAATCTCGTTCGTCTTCACACACCTTGTTGTAATTGAGTATAAAACAGATGGGAAAGAGCAATGCTGATAAAATGTAAATGAAAACAATCACGGAAAGCATGCGCGACATTCGCCGGATGTGACGATTAAGGCCAGGTAAGTTGATGGCATGATGCAACTCGTTCACTTTTTGAACGTGAAAAAATACCATGAAGCACACCGGTACTATTAACAAATATCCTCGAAAACTAAGAACTACAACTTGTATGTCAATTGTAGGAATGCTAAATCGAAACACGTGATAAAGAGCACCAAACACTGCACTGAATATCCACAACGCGATGGACCACCTGATGATAGCACCGGTTTGTATAAGACGTGCTTTGATTGGATTTCGAATGTAAAAGTATCGAAGCCCAAGAAACAAAATCACGTGAGCAGCAGACGCATGCGTTGTCGTGTATGTCATTGCCATGAAGTATTCTCCATACTCATTTCCTATATTCTTGTTAATGTTTTCAACTGCAGCATGGACAATGTATTGAATCAAACAAATAAAATCAGCCAAAACCAGGGTAGCCAAAACAATATATGTAGGCTTATGAAAGGAAGCATCGCACACAATCTTCAGCATGGCTATGATATTTCCAAGTAACCCCATAGTTGTCAAGATGACAACGACTACTGCATACTCCAATTCTTCCAACTCCAGGTACACCGGTATGATATGCTCTGGTCGATTGATGTCCGAAGTGTTCATCATCACACTAAATCAACTGTCTGTTTTATCAGAAATAAAAAAAAAATATATTATGACATGTCAAAATTAGTAAGGCAGACAATGACAACTTAGATTCAAATAAATTATGCAAAATTAAACAGTTATTGACTGGGTATTGGAGCAACATATGATTTTTTGGACCTGTAGGTGAAAATAGTACCCTGGGTTGCAGCCCAAGGGCAACATATTTACCTTTAGATCAAGCAAATCATGTTGCCCGAAATCCAAACCCAATACTTTTTTTTATATCTTCCACCATATTACCAATAAAGCACTCAAATGAAAATCTTTCAACAGATATACCCAATATACATGCATAAACATTTACTTGAGTGATATTTTGGCTTTATCAGTTAAAATGATTAAAAAAAAAAACAAAGAATGAACAAAATCATTACAATATGAAATCACATAATCACAACAGAATTTTTCACATGACACGATCTAACATATAACATACAGTTGCTTTTGAAACTTTTAGTAACCCTTATTTCTGTGTCGCCAATATTAAAAGACGATTAGTTACTAGTGACGTAGCATTGACGTTCTTGTCTAACAATTCGTATATGGGACAAATAGACTGGTAAACGATGAAATTGTTAGACCGATGCATTTTTTTTGTTGCAGTTTTTATTTTTAATAACTATATGAGACTTTTGAAAAGGGTTTAATAAAATGAATTTATAAAAATGGCTCGAGAGCAACAAATGCATTTGGTTTGATGCCTGAACAAATCGCCTACAGTGCCTTAGAAGACTGTCAATAAATACGTTTTGTTTAATGTTTTGTCAATAAACATGTGGAGATAACGAGCAGTATTCAGCTAAAAAGTCCATAAAACAATAAAATCGGAGCAGAGCAAACACGGACCTTCAAATTATTAGAGATGGGATCATGTGCCATGGAGGTATCAGCATCCCGTGCCGGCCGGTCCCACTCGTCGTTTGCTATTTGTCATGATCGGAAATAACGAAAAAGCCCGTCGTCAATTCAGTGTATAAATTATGGACTAACAATTGCTATGAAAAACATCAATCAGCATTTGACTCAATGATAAATTTTAAAATCATACGTTTTAATTTTCATTTGACATTTTACACTGGACTCCATCTTAGCAATAATTGTAAGGAAATAGCTCATTCTCCCTACAGTGTGTCTTATCATTCAAAAAAGTCATAAAGGTCCAATGTCTCATCGAATAATTCCCATAATTCACTCTTTGGTCTTACATCGATTTCTTTTTTTGACTTTTTTGACCTGCTCACAGACATTGTAAAATTCATATAGTTTTTAGCTCACCTGAGCGGAAGGCTCAAGTGAGCTTTTCTGATCACATTTTGTCCGGCGTCTATCTGTATGTCTGTCCGTCTGTCCGTCTCAGGTAGTGTAGATTCAAGTTTGTTTAAATCATGACCCCCGGGGGTAGGGCGGGGCTAAAATGGCCGACCAAAGTTTTACATAGAAATATATAGGAAAATTGTTTAAAAATCTTCTTCTCAAGAATGACAAAGACATAATTCATCATATTTGTATGGAAGCATCCTCGGGTAGTGTAGATTCAAGTTTGTTCAAATCATGACCCCCGGGGGTAGGGCGGGGCCAAAATGGCCGACCAAAGTTTTACATAGAAATATATAAAATCTTCTTCTCAAGAATGTCAAAGCCATATTTCATCATATTTATATGGAAGCATCCCCAGGTAGTGTAGATTCAAGTTTGTTCAAATCATGACCCCAGGGGGTAGGGCGGGGTCAAAATGGCCGACCAAAGTTTTACATATTAGAAATATATAGGAAAATTCTTCAAAAATCATCTTCTCAAGAATAGCAAATCCATGATTGGTCATGGGACTACTTTTAGATTTAAACTTTCAATAATAGACCAATTTCTGTTTTTCCTAGCCATAATGCTCAGGTGAGCGATGTGGCCCATGGGCCTCTTGTTGTTTGTATTCGCTTCCTGCTGAATGCACGTCTACATAATATGTTAATGCTACATTTTATTGGAGGATTGTGGGTGATACCAATATACGTTTCGGGATGATGTCCCTGAAAAGCTGTAACATTGTGTTTGATACTCGTAAGTTAGGAGACAGCCTTGTAGTCCGTAATTGAATCATTTGTATAAAATTTGACTGATTTGGTCGTATTCATTTACATTGACACATTTTTTTCTGTGGTGAATATTCTTCATATAGGATGGTAATGCTGGATTATGGAGGATAATGAAATTAAATCGTGATATCTAAAAGGAAGGAAATTGTATTATCGTCAAAAATAATGTAACTAAGCAACTGATATGAATCGGATTGTGAATAACGTGATATCCAGGTCACAAGACTATAATTTCACTGTAAATCAACGTCATATATATAAATAAACTCCTGATGATACAATTGAAACCGGTAGAGTTTTAATCGGCGTTCTGTTATTTTTTACTAAATAATTATATATATATCTGTTATGAACTAGTTCCGTTGTTAGAGAAATAACGTCTATCATGTCGTGTCACATCTGGCGTGGTTTTACACATTCGCCAACCAAAAACATAATTCTACTCAGAAAAAAATGATTTGATGAATCATTTAGAAATCTGTTGCTGTAAATACAATTGTTAAATAATATTTTTTTTCTAATAAACAAATGGAAGTCTATCATTAAATATTTCATTAATAACATAATACGTTTTACTCATCGTGTATTTTTGGGCCATGTGAACTTCTTAAAAAACCCATAGCAAAAAATCTCTTTAGTAACATAATACATTTTATTAATCATGTATTTTTTTTTTTGGCCATGTGAATTTCTCAAAAATCGAAATACTTAGTTCTTATCTACAATTTAATGCTTTTCTAGGATATTCACAATTGCAAAGGTTTCAAAAACCCTTATTTAATTTTTTAATATCGCAAATTTATTCTGTTAAATACAAAAAGTGTTAATTATGATTTTAGAAATATCTAATTCATAACATTATTATGTAATGAAACATATGGAAATAATTAATAGTATTCGAGCCCAGAAGTCCATCAAACAATACAAAACAGGAGCAGAGCAAACACTGACCTCCAAAACATCAGAGGTGGAATCAGGTGCCATGAAGGAGTAAGCATCCCATGCCGACCGGTCACACCCGCTGTGTATTCCTTGTCATGATCGGGAAATAGCGGGAAAATCCGTTGTCAATTCAATTTGTAAATAACGGACTAACAATTTGTATGAAAATCGTCAGTCAGCATCTGACTCAATAATAAATTGTATTTGCTGACAAGGTCATTGTATCGATCTTAGAAGTTATGGAATGATGACTTAATGGAGACTGCTTATATTCTTGTTTCAACAAATTGTTTTTCAGTTTTTTACCTCGATTTAGAAATTTTTCACACGTAGAGAATACTCTTGTTTATCGAATTAACTGAGAGATATAAACCCAATACGCAGGTGATGCAAGGTATATTGCTGTAAAAGATAAGGGAGTTGAGAATTGAAAATTTAAAGTCATCATGTTTGTCATAAAGCTTGGTACCTAGATTACCATTAACGTATTTCAAGTAAAATATTCAAATATGAAACATATGTGTCAGATTCTGTGGTATGTTTTATCTCAAGCTTACCAGGATATATCGTTTTTTCGTGTAAAAATTAGCATCCAAACCAATGACCTAGAAATTGTTTTTAAATAGGTCAGCCAAAAGGCACCCAATAGATCAGTTATATTTACTTAAAAACTAATAATGACCATCATAGTATTTAGGAAACGATGCCCTTAAAAAGACCATTGAAACCCCTGTAATATCAACTTCTCTGTTCTCGACTTAAGAAAACAATAATCCACAGCATTTTGGTGAGTATCAAATAAGTTGGGAGGTGTTAACAATTTAAGCAGGTGATATTCGTGTATTACAAGATAAATTAGGAAATCCACGACAGAATGCTGAGATGTAAGTTGACCTTTACATGTATCGTCTTAGAAGAAAAAAATGACCAAACATTGATCAATAATGCAGGGTATATTCAATGTACCTCTTTTTTTCACTAGTTCACTAGTATATATCTAGTATACATAAGAATGAAAAGTTCTTCATTTAATTGATAATTTGTCTGATATATTTTTATGTCGAGTTGAAAGCCAAAGTAAGGTATTTTTCTTACTTATATAGAAGTTTCAGAGCAAATTCTGCTTCAGAAGAATATGAATACAGATCGGCTTAATGAGTAATAGCTATGAGCTAGTGTAATTAATAATCGGTATTTCAAGAGATAAGAATGACCTAGCCTCCAAAGCGTACATAATGGTGTCAAATGTCATAATGGAAGAACATTAAGATTTTTTAAATAACAATTAGAAAAGTTTCATTTAAAAAGGGAGTGATTTACATATTTTCGAAAAATATGTTCATCCTATCAACATGTACTATTTGAAATAATGTTGATATAAAAAGAAGGGTTCTTTAATTTTTCTTGGTAATGTGTGGGTCTTCTTGTTGGAAATCAGTGTAAAAACTGAATTGGCCAATTAACAAATATACATGCATGGAAATTTGCAAGAAAGTTATACAGTTTGCATTCAATGTCATTTCCATTTCTTGGCCATTTTAATATATCAGAAACACTATGGCTACCGCGCAAATGAAAGAGCTTTATCATTTTAACTTCTACATATCGTTTTTTATTTTTTGCCTTTTACTCCCCTTTTAAAAAAATGCTTACCAATAACACCACTGCATAAATTTTCTCGCACATTTTAGCAGACATTAATACATGTATAACATTCATTTGTTTTTACAGGTTTTTTATACACTCCATGTCCATTTTGCGTGCTGTTTCATATATGCATCCTTTGATTCCAAGATCATATCTGAAATGTGATGATTGTAAGCAAAGCCTTTCCATGTTTGTATCATTGTTACACAGGAATAGAAACCAGATGAAAATGCGTTTCTCTCTAGAGGAGTCCTTGTCGCATTGTCAATCTACGTACTGCAAAATCTTGCTTTATTGAAGTAGAATTTAATCATGATACAAATGAACATGGATTTGTGATATGTTTTTCAAAGCATGAAATTAACCCAAAAAATGAAGAGATTATCTATCATTGATAATTCCCATATTTTAATTAATCAGGTTTGTTTGTTTAATTATGTGTCTTGAGTGTTTTGCTTTTTTCTGTTCTTTTAATTTTTTTTTTACAAATCTTATTTACACTGAAGGATAAAATGCGAATGACAAGCCCAAACCAAAATGTTTAAGATTAAGATAATAGAAGATGTATTTAAAGAAATAAAAAAATTCATAACCTACAAGGTTTTTTTTCCTGATACCAGTCTTTTGTATATTCATTTAATTGCATGTCTATTTATTATTTTCTATATAACTATTTTCATATTTGAAATTAAACTTCAATTGACTTTGTAAAAATTCCTTGATTTTCTGGACCCCTGAGAAATTTTAAACAATATTGTACGGGTTGATTGCATCAAACGTATCTCTAGATCACTCACATAAACCGTCGCAGATTCGAATCCTACCGTGGGATGTGGAGAGCAGTCCTTCAGATGAGACCATATAAACCGAAGTCCCGTGTCGCAATAGGTGCTGGCACGAAAAAGATCTCCCTGCTCAATGGCTCTGAGTGCCGAGTATAGGACAAAATTTGCAGCTATCCATCGGCAAGCGATGGCATCTCCATATGAATAAAAAAATCTCGAGAGAGACGTAAAACAACATACAAACAATCAAACAAACTCATATAAACCATATAATGTGTACTTTTGGGTGTCAACTTCTTACTTTCTGCTCTCTTACATGAATTATGTCAACTAAAGAAGGGTCCGAGTTGATATGTGCTTCTTAAAAAGAGTTTCGACAGTGCGTTGACTTATGACCCTAAAAGTTTCTGGCATCTAACAATTTGAGAGACAAACAAGCGCACACATCAAAAATTATTATTAACTTAGTGGACAATACTACGTGCATGAGTAATAATGTCAAATAATGTGAAACTTTAATGCCAAACTAAATCGAAAATAACTACCTAACGACGTGCTTACAATTTTATAAAGAAAAGTAGCCCAGTGGTTCCCATTAATGTTAATTTTTTTTATAAATTGAGAGCCATTTCATATTAATGGTTAAAATGATGAGTAATAATGATAATGGTGTAATTTTATGACATCTGCGCACGGAGAGGGTTGTTTCATGACAATACATCTGCCAAACACACATTTATAATTTGTGTATTGAGTATCCCCTCATATATATGTATAACCGTGGACAAGACACAATTTCAATACGAATCTGACCCTGTATCATTCTAAAATTAAGAAAAAGTGTTATAAATTAAAATCCTACGCAGTAAGAACATACACAAATATTTTTCAAATAATCTCCTAAACGCTAGTTGTGACGTCATGAACATGTGCATTATCCCCTTATTACTTGAAATGTTGTAGAGGACATCATTTTTATGTTATTTGAAGCAATGAAATCCCACGTGGTAAGAAAATACAAATAATACTTTTTATCTTACTCCTAATTACTAATTATGACGTCATGAATATCCAAAAATTGAAGTGGGCTACAGCTGTGGACACTATTTTGTGAAAGAAAATTCTCACAGAAATAAGTCATTATGTTGCTTTTCTGCTTAGAACTTGAAATTAACCAAATTAAAAAAAGTCATATGTCAAGAATGGTCGTCCTTCATGACATATGCTTTCATGATTTGTTATGTTCACCTACTATATTTAATCCAATTTCGTAACTTTTTAAGAACTTTTATTTTTTTAGGACACAATAAATCCAAAACAATACCCACAGAAGCAAATTATTCTCACATTTTTATATTCTTAAGATTGAAATCTCAAAAAACTGATTTATAAAACTTTTTTACCGAGAAATAAATACCTTGTTATTTAAGCTTTACAAGATGTCAAAAATCTCTGTCAAATACACAGGAAGTGTGTTCGGTAATCAGGGTCAACATTACGTGTTTTGTGTCTAGTTTTGAGTGAAACTACGTAAAATAATCATTTTAATATGAACTTTATTTTGTAATTTGTCATTTTGAAGGAAAAAAATATAAAGATATATCGTTTTATAAATGTTTTCGATAAATTAAAGAAAAAATCACGAGTAAAAACAACAAAGAAATAACATTTATTTTTTTAAATCTTCAATAAAAGAAATCACCATAATAAAAAAGTCTGAATATTGAAATAAAAATAATTAATCCCTTTATCCGTCGTGCATGTGAACATTTACCATGATCGGATTTTTTTTAAATACAATTTTCTGGCCAACAATTTCCAAAATATTCAATATTTTCGATTGTTCGTGTGTTAACAAATTTTTATCGTTAGAGAGATTTCTCTCTTCACTATTAATATTATCTCCAATTACAATATAGATGACAAATTTAATACATTAATTCTGACATAAATTTCTGTACTACATCGTGCAGACTGTATAGCTTTTACAAATCTTTTGATTTCAAATTGAATGTTTTTCTTATATCCTATTTCTTAAAAAATAATTTTAATATTTTCTTACAAATTGATTCTGCTAAAGGTCTTTTTTCGGTAAAAAATTACAAGTAACAAACAACAGTGAAGATATAAAAGAAATATTTTATGATGTCAATGTTTTAATAATATACGTACTTTCACTTATTTTTTGAAATAAAATTCAAACGTATGGAGTTTTCCAACCCGCGTGTATATACAAGGCGGGTACAGAAGCAAATTAATTGTCTTCAAAACATTTTTATATTCTGTCAATCAAATCAGAAGCTATTGAATGATCTGACAAAAAATTGAAACAGGTAGATTTTGGGGGCGTTAACATAAAATTGGGTGTTTAAGTTAAATTTCCTTCTGTGACTAAATATGTTTTTAGGCAGCAGCTTTTGGATTGAGAGCATATCTTGTGTTTCATAGTAGGCTTTTACCTTTAGCATCTCGTTGTAGTTAAAAATAGATATCTCGATCTTTCCCGCTTCTTTTAATTTTTTTCTCTCTTTCTCTTTTCCAACGATCTTTTTAAACGCTCATGGATAGTTAATTATTGTTCCAAATTCATGTAAATGTTATCAGCTCTATTTTGCATACATACAAACTTAATATTCTTAAATTTTAATGGGAGTAGAAAATCATTTCTGAGTCCTTGACTCAACATTTTAATACTACATGTAGAATAACCAAAAAATTTGTTTAAGCAAGAAATATTTCCATTCCTATGTAATTTTGACAATTCCATTGAACTCGAAATAACAAGAACACATTCAGACAAACCTATTTCATATTGTGATGTTTGATTTCGGGAAACAAATCGATGACAAGCTTTCAACTTAACTTAAACATGGTTGACTTCAACTTATCTATCATCCTACATTACATGTAATGCGATATACCTTCATCATCTGCATATGAAAATTGTATCCATGTTTTGTGCATATTTTTTTTTAAACTAGATAAACGATTACTAAATAAGTTAATGATACAAGGATGTCGACAATCTTGTAAAACAAATCATTCCAAAAGCTACGTGGTTCATACAGTGTCCTGGCATGCAAATACAATCTGCCGTTAGGTAGAAGGTTTACTGTATGTCCGGTATGCAGGGGATGCTTGCTTCTCCGTGACACATGATCCCATCTTTTTTTTCAGAGGCATGCATGTTGACGCTACACCTAAATGTTATTGTTTTTGCAGACATTTGTGAATTATCACTGCTCGTTATCTTATTTCTTCTAATACTAATAATATAAGTCCTTAAAAATTATTTCATTTCAAAGTTTAATTTCCCCCAACTTGTCTGAAAAATATAGGTTATTGAACAAGAACCCAAGAATTAAACGATATTTCAAAGAACGTAAACCCATACAGAAATTGTTAGAGACCGCGTAGTTAAAACCTTTTTTTATGAAGGGGGGGGGGGGGGCTTTCGTAGAATAAAATGTAAAATAAACCTGACTTCAAAGATTCTTTCAAAACAATTAGACATTTTATACGATGAATGAGACAATTCGAAAATCATAAATTTGAATGAATTTTTCACAAGTTCAACTCCAATAATATATAACCAGGAAAAGCATATTACAATTATATCCCGACGTGACTCAAACCTAAATAATTAAGATAAATATGGTATAAAGAAATAAGTGCAAACATGTGCTATTCCAGGAAGTTATTAAAAAATCCAATAAATGGAGGGAAACATGTTTTTTCTATATTATAAATGAAAGAAGTTACATCAAAATCTTACCTTCGTAATCTAAATTACACAATGTCCAGCATTGCTTCGTTCTGCAATAGAGATAACAAATGCTGCTTGAAGCACATTTACGCAGGCCTTTATACATTAATCGATCACACAGTGTGATTTTGCAACAGAGCAACAAATGAAAGCAGGAAAGTTTAACTGCAGCTGTAAACGCAGTCGATATTTTACTGTCATTTTGACTAAAATTATGAAATTTAAGGACTGAGATTTGTCCCGGATGTTTTGGAGACAATGAGATATCCTGATGGACGATCTGTGTCACGAAATAAAAAGACCAATAAATGATTGGACGCCATATTTATTGTCATGTGTACTACAGACATACGTCAGAAACGGATGTTCAGAGTGTTCTATGTGCACCCGGATCTAAGATACTAGTAGTTTTCTCAAAGTATTTAATATATATTGCAGTTATATGGTACTTTAACCCACACATGGGAAATCATTAAAATATTCACAAACTTGTTCAATCGAAAGTATTAACTTGAAAGAAAGTTATATACCTTTGTTTTGCATGGTATATTCCTCAAGCCAAAAGGGATGATGATATTTGACTGGCCACCAAAAAGCAAACAAAACATTGATGCCAAAAATAAAAATATGTAATGAATAAATAAATACATAACATAAAGTGACATATAAACATAAAAATATATAACAAATAGAACAAAATTACAAAAGTATATATTCTGTGACATGTATCTTTCAACGTAAAAATACACAAATCATAGAAGAACATGAACAGAAAAAAATACCTTCTAAACCATGTAAACCATGGATCTATATATAAAAAACGACTTTCGGTAGCTTGTTTAAAACAAACTTTTGAGTCATATCGTACATACGGTGCACTGTTGATAATGATAATCATGAAAAACAGTTTCATACTTTAATAGGAAACTGTTAATTCGTTAAACCATTCATCCAGCTCATGGGACCTATTCCTAACTTTTTTTTTGCAGAATTTTAACATTACTTACTTAAATCTTATCATATCATTTAAAGGGATGAAGCTTAGGTCTACACATTTCATCTGTGTATTTTTTATATACTGTATGTGAGATTGCAGAATGATAATTTAATAATCAAGCATGTCAAAAATAGATGTAAGAAATTACAAGACGTGTTCTATTACGACATGAAGATGTGTCAAATGACCTGTTTAAAATACGAGCAAGCGTTGCATGCTGGTTGCCTGCAGAATGCAACTTTGTCATCGATCATCGTCCTACAAGTCAAAAGATTTCTAAACTTTATCTTGTTCCTTCACCCAGTGATACAGACAGGGGCAAAGAAGGTGAGTTGGTGCACTTTGATCTAAATCTATAACACACAAGTTAAGCTTAATTAATGTAAAAATGAATCAAAATGATTCTGTGTCTATTACATATACTGAACATCTGTTACGATATTTTACTCTTCGTATCATTTATTTTATTTCAGGAACAACGAATTTCCTTCAAAATGTTCTCAGTTCTATTCTTCTGCCGGACTGGTTTCAGGTATATTGAATTTTTGCCCAGTTTTTCAACCTTTTTTTTCTGTAAGACTTGCTTCCAAAAATTTCAACCAATAATTTTTGGTAAGTTAGAAAAATGGATTTGATAATTCACTTAATATGTATTGCTTGTGAAAAGAGTTTCCTTTGAGGGTTTCAGCATACCGGTATTTGTCCTGCTTAACTTCACAGTTAAGTTTTACCATCTGTTGTTCCTAAACATCACAGATACGATCAGGTGCCATGGAGGAGGAAGAATAACCTGTAAACTGTTTACAAATGCCATGGACCTCTTGTCATGATCGGGAAATAACGGAGGTATGTCTAGTTCACAATGTTTTTTTCGATATTGTCGACATCGCTGTAAGAATAACTATCCTCTTAATACCATAACACATTCAACATAACAATGTTGGATAACACCTTTCTTTATCTCTCTTTATATTACACTGATTAACGATATTGAGTCCACGTCTTGTTAACATTGCCTTCTCCTTCTCTGTTGTTGACATCGTTCACATCGTCGACATCGCAGTGTTGGTCGATATCAAGTCGACATCTTGATAACATTGCCCTCTTATTTTTTCTTGTTTACATCGTGCACATCGTCGACATCGCAATGCTGGTCGATATCGAGTCAAAATTCTGTCAACATTGTCTTCCCCTTTTCTGTTGTTCCTTCTTATTTTTCTTATTTACATCGTTCACATCGAGTCGACAATGTATCAACATTGCCTTCTTTTTATCTTGTTTACATCGTTCACATCGTCGACTTCGCAATGTTTGTTGATATCGAGTCGACATCGTTTCAACATTGCCTTTTTTAAAATCTTGTTTACATCGTTCACATCGCCATGTTGGTCGATATTGAGTCGATATTGTGTGAACATCAAATTCTTTTCTTTCTTGTTTACATATTTGTGTTGTCCTATATGGAGTCGATCGACCTCATGTCAACATTACGTTTCCCTTTATGTCTATCTATTTTAGTAAAATTATTGACAACTCATTAAACGCATAAAATTAAGTAGACTTCATATTGATAAGGCAAATAGACGATATAAACGCAAAATCTTTTCAACATTGTTTACAATGCGATGTCGACATACAATGTAGAAAAAATAACAATGAAGACTATGTAGACGCGATATCGCATCAACATTGTTTACATTGCAATGTCGACGTCGACGATGTCGACATGTATAAACAACACCAATGCAGACGATGTAAACGCGATATCACATCAACATTGTTTACATTGCGAAGTCGACAATGTCAGCATACAATGAGAAAATTATAACAATGTAGACGTTGTAAAAGCGATTTCGCATCAACATCGTCTACATGATATGTCTTCATAATGAATGAAAACAATGAAGACTATCTAATCAAAATGTCGTGTCAACATTGTCGTCGTTTCGATGTCGACATTGTCGAATTGATAAAGTGAACTGGACATGCATGAAATAAAGTGAAAATCCGTCGATTTTCCTCGTTTTAGAAATTGTTCCTACATAGAACATCCTCTTGTGTTTCAAGTCAAATGAGAGATATAAACCCCTTATGCAGGTGATGAAAGGTATATTGCTGTGTAAGTAAAGGTTCGAAAAACTTGGTTACTAGATTAATATTAACGTCCTTTTCAAGTAAAACATTCAAAAATGTAACAAAAGATATCGGACCCTGTGGTATCTTTTATCTCAAGCTCACTGGGATATATCGACACAAGAATGGATATAACCATTTGCAATTGACAATTCGTCGTCGATATATCTACACGTAAAGTTGAAAGTCAAAGCATGCGTTTTCTTCTTTTCACGTATAAGATTTTGGACAAATTCTGCTTCATATGAATAAAAAGATTGATTTTCTAAAAAAGTAAAAATATCTAACAAATTCTAACATAGAAAATGCAATCTGGGGTGTTTGTATTGCTGTTCCTTCCCTCTATACAAAAGATTAATAAAACTTGGCACTCGAAAAAAAATAAATAAATGGAAGTGTGGGGAAAACTGAAGAAAGCAAAACGTTTCGAGGTGTGTTGTTTAGCATGCACTCTAATGATTATTTTATCTGGAATCATCGTTTCTTCATATAAACTCGGTCAGTTGGTCTCCTTCATCAAAAGCATGATACGTGTGTCCTCTGAATGTCAAACAGCCATTAAAGGACGAGCTCTAAATTTGCAGAACCTAGCAGACAATGTTTGACCAGTAATCAATGAACAGGAGTTCAACACTCCCGCTAACGAGTGGAAATCGTTTACAGATCGTTAAGTGAACATGCAGACAGTCAAAGGAAATAATCGGGTTTCTTGATAACTCATTGTGCAATCATGCTTTATCATTGCGTAATATATTACTTAATTATTTTGATTTTAATTACAAAAACGTGACAATGCTGGTTATTTTTACTTTTTCACTCCCAGGACGAAGTTTATAGTCTAACTTAATGCGTATTTACAATGCAATGATGGACTGGGTACAAAATTATATAATTACCAACAGAGGCATTCATGGTATCCTCCATTTACAACCGTATTTAGGTATCTGGGGGTCGTAACATAAAGCATGCTAAGTTTTTGACTTAAGTACTGTCTTAAGTACGCGTTAAGCACATTTTTAGGACCTAAATAAGTATTACTTATGTATGTCTTATACCTTAACATAAAGCGAACTAACCTCGGTCTTAGCTAAGTCATACTTATGCATTGAATTAAAATATTACATGTACACAGTGTGAAAGTTCATAATGTAGCGTTGGTTATTACATGTAAGTGTGATATTTACTCACAGACTGAATATTTTTTACTTCTTTAATCACGCCTGGCTATTGTCACAATTGTCCTTAGGGACTTTTAGTCTTTAAAAATTCCGTAACGTTTTTTTTTTTCACTGGGATTTACTGAAAAAAAAACTACCAGTAGCGTAAAATCTCAAGGCAGTTAATACCTGTGATGAAACACTGATAGCTTCATTTCTCTCTGTTGGTCTTTCCAAACCACCTCTTACCAATTCACACACATTTTAAATTAGATTTCTGTCTAAACGATACCGCTCTATCAAATATTGGTCGTCATAATCATGTAGATTTTCTCTTGTTTTAAAACTTCTTCTTTTCCTCCCACTTTGTAGAAATATTTAAGCCTACGCCATTCGTGTAATAATTGTGTATTCGAACCTAACGTCTAATTTCTATTTTGAATATTGTTTAATTATGTCTTTATTTACATACCTCTGAATACTTAACTCTCAGTTTCTCTGTGATTACCGGCCAAGTTAATCTGTCATTGATTTCTAATCATAATCAATGTACACACATGTATATCCTATAGGGTTATCTTGCTTAATGTACATGTTTAAATTGCTGTATACACATACACAAGACATAATTGCTATTTACTGACTTAAAGAGGTATTAGAGTATCTTATTAATTAATAACAAATGAAATACTTACAATATTCATCGTTAAATTTTAACAGTTTTACATATAATCTGTTCATGTTATGTATAACACGTCACATATCTTGATCTTTTAAGTTTTGCTAAGATTTGTATTTCTTGAACCCCGTGGGGATCCGGGTAAGAATAGGTCCTCAGTACCCCTTTGCTTGTCGTTAAAGGCGACTAAACGGGGCCTGCTCAAAGGCCGTACGTGCCGAGCATAGGTCTAAATTTGCAGCCCTTCACCGGCAATGGTGACGTCTCCATATCAGTGAAATATTCTGGAGAGGGACGTTAAACAGTAAACAA